TTAACAAATAATATTCACTCATGTAAAAGTCACCAATCCATCTTACAAAATCCAATAGTCATAAATGTAAAATCTGCACCTATAAAACTTCCAGGAGAAATAGCGAAGAAAACTTCTCTGAACTTGAGTTTGCCAGGCAAAGAATTCTTAGGTATGATAGGAAACTTAATTTGTGAAAAAGTTGTTACACTGGGCTTTATCAAACTTAAAAACTTCTGCATTTTGAAACAACTGTTGAGAGATTGAAAAGACAAGCCACCACAGACAGGGAGAAAATATTTATAGAGCTCATATCTGATAAAAGCCTGGTGTGCAGAATTCATAACTCAATAATAAGGAAACAAACAACCCAATTAAAATCCAGGCAAACTATCTGATCAGAGAGGTCTCCAGCAAAATGATGGGGGGGTCAGGTACGTACTCGAAAAGACGGTCAGTATCATTGGTCACAAGGGAAATGGGAATTAAAGCACTAGTGATACACCACCTTTTAGAATGAGTAAAATTAAAAGAAAAGAAACTGTACAGCAAATAGAACTTTCATGTATTTCTGGTAGATATAAAAAACATGGGTCAGTGACTTTAGAAAATAGTTCAGATGTTTTTTACAAAATTAAACAATTGCTGTATGGACCAGCCTCCTAGGCATTTACCAGAATGAAATGACAACCTATTTTCATGCACACACATATTCTATGTGAATATTTATAGTGGATTCATTTGTGATCTCCAAGAACTGGAACCAGCCCTCGGCAGGGGATGGATGAACAAACTGTGGCTTTTCATGAAAAAAACAGATTCATGTAGCCGCAGAATGAGTTTCAAATGCTTTGAGCTCAACGTAAGTACCAGATTATAAAAGCTGCCCACAATTCTATATATGTGACATTCTTGCAAACATAGAGGAAGTATGGGAAGGTATTTACTCAAAAGAGGCCCTGGGCATTTCGGGTTTCAACAAAAAGTTCAATGTCAGGAGTATGGTGGTAATAACACTCCTGAGTGTATCTCTCAAATCCTACAGCACCATACTCCAAAAAGTGTGAATCTTACTGCATGTAAATTACGTCTTATTTTCAAAAACAGGACAAAGAAGCCCACGGAGAGTTGCTTCTTAATGGTCCGCCACTGATTGCCACTTGTAAATTGGTGCAGTGGTCAATTTTGGGGCTGCACCTTCCCTGAACTCCCAATAGCATTGGACAAGCGCAGCCCTTCCCTCCCTTCCTGAATCACACTGTTTTAAGTTTGGTTTCCCAGGCCACATACTTCCCCATTTTTCCTACTGCTCCGCAGTTTCGTTGCCGGCCTATAATTCCCCAACTCACCTGTCACCCTTGCGCCCCCCACTCGCGCGCTCTAGGCACGCGGGCCTCCTGGCTCTTCAGACCCGCCAAGTGCCCTTCCTCCGCAGGGCCTCCGCGCTGGTGAGTCTGTTAACGCGGAGCCCGGGTCTCTGCAAGCCTCCTTCTCAGTCTTCAGGTTTCCACCCAACATTCGTCCCTGGAGGAGGCCTTTCTGGCCATCCTATCCAAACTCTGCCCCCTCTCCCAGCACTCCCCTGGGATTGCCCTGTTTTTGCCCTCCATGTGGACACGTATGCTTCAGGAGAGAGGGGTTTCGTCTAGCTCCTTGCTGTTTGTCCGGTGCCCAGGCCAGGGCCCAGCCCGCAGGAGCTCCCAGCCAACACGCACACACACACCGTCTTCTTTCCTTTACTACTTGCTGTGCAATTCCCCCTGCCCCTTCAGTCATCCAAAAATAAGTCAATGATAGACTGAACTGCATGAAATTGTCAATATGTGATCATTTTGGTTGTACAAAATGGCAATTGCATGTGGTTCAAATTAACACTATTGTATCAGAGAAACAAAATAAAAACCTTTGAATGTGCCAGTGGCACACAGATTAAAATAATAAAGGTGCTGGGGAGGTGAGGTCAAGCGTCATGGACAAAGTATGATTCCACATAAATGAATCCTGGCCCCGCCATTGTGAGGCGTCGGCCTTCCCGTGGACGTCCGTGAGCCAGCAGACAGGATACCTGCTTCCCGAGTGATAAGAGGAAATGAGTGGCCTTCCCCCTGCAGCTGTGAAACCATCACCCAGCGACTGTAACAGTGGAGACCAACCCCACTTCAAAAATCAGTGTTCGCTCTTGAAGTCTTGTTTAAGTAAAACATGTGCCGCCTTTGACGAAGCAGCCCAGGGACGCGCATGACACCACAATGACATCACAGACAGTATCACTGCACGCTCTGCTGAGCCAGAGAAAAGATTTTTTCATTTTTCTTTCCAGCACACCTGCTATTATTACATTTAAGAAGGGCCAAAAAGGAATGATTTTTTCCCCTTTTCCTTACAACTGAAACATTTAATCCCATGGTATTTGCACATTATACTTAATTGCAAATGGTTATCAACAGCATAAATCTTATATTAGTATGCTAGCTTCAATGAGATGTTTGTGTTTCCAAACTTTAATAATGCAGATGGTTTCATGCTGAATAATGTTTATTTTTCAATATTTTCAGCTGCTTTTACCTGTATAAGTTTTCTGACTCAAAGTTTCTCCAGCTTTTAGGAATAATAGACCTGTCAATGTCTAAAGCCTATGAACCTGAGACTTGATGGAGTTGATACCCATATTGTGGATTCACCAGTTGAGCATAAGACTAGAGATTTTCTTCTTTATTCCTTTCCTTTATCTTCTTCCATTGGCTAATGGAGTTCATAAGCAACTGTATTCTCTGAGTAAACTCAAAACCTGATGTTTATGCTTTTGAAAATACGGCAATAATTAAGTTTACTTTTCTAATAACTCAATTTGTCCACACAATTGTCAGACTCTGCTGGGTCAATGAACGAAACAAATGGCCTCTTATTAGGAAGATGTTATTAACTGCTGGGCATTGTATGAACAAAGAATCATTAATGGCAAGAGAATCAATTCCTTCAAAAGGAGAGGGACACCTTTGCCTGTGAAAGCAAGTAAGGGGTTCCTCGAACATATATAATAAATACCTAAAATTTCATATCATGTGCTTGTTTTCACTAGGCAGATTTGAAAACTCCTGGCAAAATCAGTGCATTGCTTAAAAAATTTCACCATGAAAGCTTTGTTAAAGAATGGCAAAGAAGTTAATATAATGCATGTTTTCAAATATAGGTTAACTAATTTGAAGTCCGTAAAGCTAACATGTTTACATTTGTATATGTACATATGACAGACAGCATATATAGAATGTGTGCATGGGTGTGTGTGGGTGTGCATGTGGGTGTCACGAAGGGAGAAAGCTGCAAATGTCAGGGGCATGGCCTAAAAGATCAAGAACAAATAATAAGGGGTAAATAGGATAATTATGTCTGCTGGGGAGAAAAAACAGTGCAGACATCATCTTACTTGTCCCTCATATTCGATAGATGTTTGCCTGACTGGGGCTCGGAGGAGTATGCATTTTAACTCGCAGATTTATTTTCCTGAGCTTTCAAACTACATAGGTTTTGTTGAATAACGATTCAAAAAAATCAGGATGATGGTTTAATAAAGTAGATGCTAAACACATGTTCATAAGAGAGGAAAGATAAAGAATTTAAGGTTTTTTTATGGCAATTATTAGATTTTTATTGCATACTTCGATTCCCATTTTCCCGGGGTGGGGGTCTATGTATGAAACGAAGACACTCTCTCCTGTTCTCTGCGTCTAATCATTGTGCATTAACTCAGGCTTTTGAATTTGTCAGATGTTGCCTATTTTGTTGTAAAATATACCTTCCTTGATGCTTAAATCTAAGAATGGTTCTCAATGCTGGCTGCATAATACCATCACCTGAGAAGCTTTTAAATCAAATTGATGTTTGCATCCCTCTACAGGTCTATTAAATCAGAATTTCTGAGGGGTAAGACCTGGAAAGTAGTACTTACATAAATACCCATTTTAATTGAAGTAAGAGATGCATATAGAAGGATGCAGCTCTCATAAATGTATGGCTTAGGGACTTACCACACAATGAACTCACCTGTGTAGCCACCACTCCGCTGAAGGGAACATGGCCAGCATCCTAGAAATTCCATTCATACTCCTCCTAAGTAGGCATCGTACTTTTTAAACATTCCTCAGCACATTGTGATGTACAGCCAAGGATGAGAACCACTCTAACTGCTGTTTTCTATACCACTTTCTCAATTTTGATTGCGTTGTGAGGAATGGAAAATGAATAATTAAACACATACTCTGTGTTGGTGACTGCACAAACACAATCTTATTTTATCTTAAAAATAACCATTTAGAATAGTTAGCATTACATCCTTTTGTTACAAAAAGGGAAGCAGAGGCTGAAAGAGATGGTATAATTTGTGCCATTCGGAAGGGGACAGTAGAATGTAAACCCAGGTCAGTTTAGGGGTTACAAGTCAGCCTGGGCTTTGAATACCAGCTCTGCTGACCTCCTAAAGACATTATTCAGTGAATTGGTTTGATTTTCTTATCAGTAAAATTGTCTAACTCATCTTCTTACTACAGGGATCACATGTACATGGCCGGACATGGTGCCTTGCAACTCTTATGGCTAATTTTGATCTTGTATCTGATTCCAGACCCAACTTTTCCCACTTCTGCATTTTCTAAAAAGCTAAAAATGAAGAAGCCACTTCATGACTCCTTCCGGTTGATGAATTCTGTGATTCAGCTTAATTTCTATGAGAAGTCTATGTCAATACATGTATTATGGTGCTTCCCCAAATTCTGAAAATGGGGTGGACTGTATGTTTATTCCACTTTCAGATGAACAGTTAGACGCATTGATTTAATTTAGAGGGACTTCATCTGAAAAAATGTCCAGATGTTGAAGAAAACCTATTAAAATATTAATTAGAAATGAAACTAACATGCTGTTTTATAATAAATTTATCTGACATTTCTTCCCTTTTAAGGGGGACAGATGGTAGGTAGCTAGATGCATAGATAGGAAGAACTATATATCTTTATCTTCGTACCCAGGTAAGGAAACAGGGTTATCAACACAAACCATGGCCTTCCTCTCCTGGCCCCCTGAGACTGAGTCTGTACCACCTTACAAATGGTTAGAAGGCCAAGAGACACCGTGGATGAGGAAATGGCGTTGCATCATCGCTGTCCTTTCGAGTCAGCAAACAGAAGCTGCACACGGCCGACTGCTTCCGTCTGCGCCGCATCCCTTTGCCTTGCGAGATGACAGCGCTGGGGAATTTCCACTGATCCTGGGATGTGCACTGTGAGTAAGCTACTTCCTAACTAGATCATTTCCCTCACTTGACATTCTCTTAACTGTGAACCATGTCGCTCTAGGAAAAGAGAGAAGAAAGAATTGGGGGTGGTTAATGCTCTTTTTTTTGCGTGTATTTATCCTTCCATGTGGTATGTGGAGAGGTAAGGATGAAGAGCTTGCTTAAACTTCTCCCAGGTGGACCCAGAGTGTGCCCCAGGAATGCCGTGCCCAAAGCAGTATACCCACGGAAAGCGCCCTGGCTGACTGTCGGCAGCGCTGCCGGACACCCGACCCTGGCGCCTGAGTCGGTCGGTCCTCGAAGCTGCGGCTGCCTCTCCGGTAAAACCGTATCCCAGTGCGACTGGACGTTGGGAGGATGACAAAAACCGAGGGGTCTCAGGACTCTTGCTGTTGCTGTTCGCTTGGCCCCAAAGCTTTAGGTCTATGTCTGTGTCAAGGCAGGAATTGCCCCAGCGGGCCAGTCGGAGATGGACAACACAGCTCGCCGTGGTACTGGGCACAGGGCTACCTAACGGTGGCCACGCCCGCCGGCGCAGAGCTGCCAGCAGTTCCCACTCTGATGCATTTCCCTGGACCTGCTCGCCCTTCTGGTTCTCACGTTGTTATTACTTTAATCTAGTAGGTGAAATCCTAGAAAAGTTCATACCAAGGACCTACTCTTAATATTAATATTACATATTATTAAAATATTAAATATTTTCTATTATGGTAGACTAAAGTCTCAAACAAGCAACTGACAAAGCATTGAATGGGGGTTTACAGGACTAATGAAAACTTCCTATTTGAGCCACTCTGTCATTTTCAGAACACACTCAAATTGTACTAAATTATTACAAAGGGTGCCCTGTAAAGAGTCCTCCTTCCACAGAGGAGGATGGAGAGTAAGAATGGAGATGTAGAAGCCGTTGAGAAAGGATGCAGTGGTTTGCAAATGTAAGCGGTTAATAGTTGCTGCTATTTGCAAGACATCGTAATTCCGTATATAAAATGTGTAATGATAAGGGCTTTAGCATGATAACAAAGTTTTCAGTCGTTTTCATGAATCTTACATTACAGTAACCCTGTGAGGTGAATGTGGGACTCAATTTAGGATTTAACCTTGCCCAGTTTTGGTAATTTCAGTTCCCGGGGTATATAGTCTCCTATTGGACAAAGATCAAGTTTGGTGAGCCATTTGAGAACCAGATGATTATACTGTTCTTTGGAGTTAGAAAATCTGTTATCAACCATACAGATCAGTGTTCATCAAGGTCAGTGGCGTATATCAGCCTAAGGCAGACTTTCTCAGCGGTGGCACTGTTGACGTTTTGGGCTGGGTGACTATTTGTACAGAGCTGTCCTCCACAGTGCAGATGTTTAGCAACTTCTCCAAACTCTGCCCATGGCGGACACCAGCAACCCCCTCATTTGCGGTGATCACAGATGTCTCCAGACACTGCCGAGTGTCCTTGGGGAGGAAAATGACCCCAGTGGGGACCATTTCCTAGTGTGTCATCACTCCTCAGCGACTTTACGGTGGGCTTTCTATAACAATTCCATAATAATCTAACTCTCTCCTAAAAGTCACACTTAGTATTAGCATATTAAAGATTCTGAGGAGTCTTATCGCAAAGAACCACTTTCCTCTTGTTTAATTTAGCATCTCCCAAATATTTTGACTATGGAATCATCTGTATCTCCATAATTGCTCTTACAAATTTCTGCACTATGTTACAAACACATGAAAATTCTGGTGAAACTAAATGTTTACACAGGCACTTTATTCACTTAGAAGTTCTTAAAGCTTCAGAGTTTTTATTAAATGCGATGTATTTATACACCTTCAAGTTAAAAACAAAGTCCTTTATAATAATAATAACAGTCACATCAACCAATGTAAACTAACAAAGTTTTTATAGCATATAATGGTTAACAAAATTACTTGGCAGGTGTGAAATAATATGTATTGGTCTCTGCACCCAGTTTCTGGCACAGAGCTCCTAAAACCTGTGTAATTTCCTAAGGGATAAGAACACCAGGGATGTATTTTGTTCTAATATAGGCTTACCCTGCCACGGATGGTGTTCCTTAAAAGCTTTAGTAAATCAACATGGCAAAGAGTGAAGGGGCAGTTATCACTCATTTGCATGGAAATTTTTTGAGTGCACCCAGACCCAAAAAATAACTTCTTAGGCTTTTCTGATACCTGAGGACACATCTTGTTAATGGACATACCACATAAATCGAGATAAAGCCCAGATGCTCACACAGTTCCAAGCTGTGGCGGTTTGATACCGAGAGGATAGGCGTAGTTCAGAGTGTGTGCTGCCTCTGTGACAGCTCACTGTAAAACAAGCACTGAATGTTATTTTTGATTTTCACATTTTTCATAAAAGGGAAAATCCTCAGGCTTCTTTCAGTTAGCAGAAGCACGTACCAGTGTAGGCATCTGCAAAAGTAAAGCGGCATAATGCAAACTTCTGAGAAATGGGGCGTATCTGTACTTGGTCCTTGACCCTGACTCCTAACCCAGAGCTCCTGACTATTCCTGATTTCCTGGGTGATAGGAGTGCCCTTCGATCTTCTGAGGCACCTCTTGGTGGGCTCCTGATAGCTTCAGGACAGGGCCGGTCACCAAAAGACCAAACCACTGTCAGAAGCCTGTAGCTTTAGCCCCACCTGCCATCTTCATGGAAGGACAAAGGGGCTGAAAGCTGGGTCTATGATCCATCGTGCCCAAATGACGAGTTCTTCTAAAAATTTTTAAAATCTATGGGCTTCAAAGAGCTCCCTGGCTGGTAACCAGGGGGAGGTGCTGGGAGAGGGGCACCCAGACAGAGCTTGGGGTCTCCACACCCTCCCACATACCTTGCTCTATGTGTCTCCTCACTTGGACATTCAGGATATGTCTCTGTTATATCTGTTATAATAAACCAGTCAACATAAGTGTTTCCCTGAGTCTTTGAGCCACTCCAGCAAATTATTGAACCCAAGCAGGGGGTTATGGGAACCCCAAGTTATAGTCAGAAATACAGGTGACTGGGGTTTGCAACTGGCATTTATCGGGGAAATCTTGTGGGGCTGCACACCTACCTTGTGGGATCTGATGCTAACTCTAGGAATTTAGTGTCAGAATTGAATTGCACTAGAGGACACCAGCTTGTGTCAGAGAATTGCTGATGTGTGAAAAACCCACACCTCCAGCATTAGAGTGAAGCATAGCAGAGAGGTGGGAGTAAAGGGGAAACACACAAGAATGTTCTTTCCTTCCACGGCAGGCACTCAGCATTTCCTTCTCAGGGTGACTTACTAGTGTGCTTGCTATGGGGAGCAGAAATACAAGGCACATCCTCAGATTTCCCTTCCTAGGTCATGTCTACATGGTGTAGAAGTAGCTGTTTCAGCACAGCCTGCCCCCACAGGGCACCAGCCATGCGGCTGACAGGGTCCCACCCCACTGATCCACCTCCAGAGCTGGTCACTTCATCAGCTTAAACCTTCTCACATGCAGGACGGCTGGCCCAGTAACAGCCACCCAGTCAGACCTGAACTTCTAGCGTGTGGTTTCACATGACCCTCTTGGGAGGCCACACCTGCCTTGAGCTGGTCTCGGCAGAGAAGCGTCTCTGACTTCAGTGGGTGTGTAGGGAATGTGCTCAGCGGAGGCTCAGGTGAGCAGAAAGGAGGCCTTGACAGCTGGTGCTTTTTTGCTGGCACGTGGAAAGCTTACCTGCACAGAAAGTCAACACACGGAGGACAGGCCGGAAAAGCGCACGCTAGGAAATGTGGAGCCCCATTAGAACTGCCTGAGCCAGGGCCACGATCCGGTGCTCACCATCGTCTAGTATCTCCTTTCCTGTCCCGCCCACCTGTGGGTCTCTCTCAGTTGCAACAGAAGCCAGTCTTAGTGACACGCCTGAAACAGACACAGTGATAAGTGACAGCATTTCAGAGAGTAGTGATAGCAGCAGAAAGCAAGATTGTTTGGTTTAAGATTGTTTTATACATTTCAAGCCACCATGTATTTATAAATTCCTAACTTAGGTGTGTCTATGCTTGATTGCTGATACGGATTCTAAAGCAGAATGAAAACAAATTCCAAGTGATTCGGTTAGACATGATTAGTAAGGTAACTAAAGGAATTCTACAGACCAGCTAACTGCCAGAGGTAAAAAAAAAAAAAATCTGGGGTGAATGTCATGGTAGTAGCTTCCTACAAGTGGAAAAGTTAAGGTAAATACAGAATTTAGCATGTAATACAGTGTGATGGCATTTGGTAAATTCATCTGAAGCAGTAAGAAAAATAAGATATCAGCTACATTGTATTTGACAAATTATCCTGCTTAATTATTTAATTTACTGTGGAGAAGTTGGAATTGGGGAAAAGATTGAAATCAGTGCAAATATTTTTCCCACTACTCCATAAATAGATTCTTACAAGAATTGTTCCTCTTTCAATTCTATATCTAAGATCTAGTTCATGTAAGAAACAAACATCTATTATTTCTGCAGCTAAAAATTATTCTGACTTTTCTAGCTTTCTGTTCTTCAAAGTCCAGACACAGAGTAGAGGATAACAAAGGGTGCTTCTTTAAATATTGTTGCATACCAGTGCCATTCAAGGAAATGTCCAAGGTGTCACTGTCTTATCTCAGAATCAGTCACTAACTCACCCTGCAGGAGCCACGGACTAGCAGCTACCAGGAGGTCCTGTCTAAGGCGGTTGGAGTGGATTCCAAACAATTCCGAGCCCATCCTCATTGCCGTAGGTAGTAGCCTTACTTATGAGATAAAAACAAAACAAAACAATAACCTCAAGTAAAAGAGAATCTGTTGACATGGCTACTTTCTAATGGAATTTCCAAAGATACGGGTGTTCCTGGATGCATAATATACCTAGAGACCCCAACAATAATAACTTGGGGGTCTTTATTGTATAACTTGCTATGCCAACAGTATGACCCAGATACTCTCCACTTGCGTACTTTAAATGAGTGTTCTATGAAAAATAGTTTCCTTACCCTTTCTTTTACATTTTTTTCTTCATCTAATCACTCTGCTTACTCATAGTTTCTGTTACCTCATACCTTTGGCAAAGTCCATCTTTGTCTTTCCAGGCTGACTTCTATAATATTTAACTTTTGTTCCTGTTGCTAAATGACTCATTCCCATAGAATTTCCCAGTTCAAAAGAATCCCACTCCCTGAGCTCATCTTCTGGGAGCCAGACCACGTCACAGTTTCCTCACCAGCTTCGGTCCTGCCTGCCCTCCATCCCAGCGTTCTACCTCTCGGTCCTACTGGGGGTGGCCGAGGAGGTGCAAAACTATGCAGTTAGGTTTTTGTGAGGCAGTTTATCTTGGCAAGGCATGTATCCATGATGCACAGGTATTTTACGTGTCCAATATAGTTTAGCTCTTGCTAACCAGTAGAGAAAACTGCCTGCATCTTAGCCACACAATTTCAAAGTCGCCCCACCTAGCACATGCCATCTCATATATTGCAAATACAGCCAAATCCCACAAATAAGATGCTGTTAATCTTATGTCGGCTCCATTGCTGCCTCCAGAAGTGATGTCAGTGGGTCATGTCAAAAATTGCTTGATGATCTCGGAGTCTACTTGGTAAAGGGCAAGTACTTCCAAGAGTATTTAGGATGTGGAAGGTTACCTTTATTTTAAGTAATACCATTTTTGAGAACTTGCTGTGAGAAGAAACCTTCACTGTTCAGTAGCTGGAGTTATGGACCATTGATTTGTTCTGGTCCATAGCATGTATTTCATTTCCTAGAACAGTTCACTGACCGTGAAACATGTGCTTCTCATGGTGCGACTACAGGGCCACTTATTTTGGGATGGGAAGAAACTCAACAGGATGAGTAAGTCCAAGGAGACATCCTGGTCTCACTCCTTTTGCAGTGAGGAGTCTAGATTCCCCCATCCACCAGAGCCTCACATCACTGCTTCACCAGCTGAGTCACAGACACTGTACAGCCTCAGCCAGTTCCAATTACCCACCATCTCCGCATGCTTGCACCTCATTCTGGTACAAATTTATGTTTTACTTAAAGTCTTTTTGTTACAGAAAGAGAGCTTCCCTTGTGAATATATGCGCCCGCACCTGGACCTGGGCGTTGACAGGAACTGAAGCAGGAATGGGATCCTGCTGTTCCGTCTGTGTCTGTCAGGTAAATGAGATGGCACTTTCATTCTCTTTTCTCTGACTTTATATTCTCTTAGAGCTCCAGGTGGCCAAATTCTCTGCCTTGAGACCCCAGCACTGACCTCTTTCTCTGTGTTTCTTTTGAGCTCCACAATGGCTACCAATTGCTTGATTCTCCCTGTGTCTCTCAATTAAAATCCCAGAGAAAAAAATGTATTGGCTTAGTTAACATATTACAGATTCTGCACAGCTAAGTGGATTGACTCCCCTTGGCCAATACCATGCCTGTTCTTTTAGGAGGGGTAGGAGGACACTTGATTACTTTACACAAGCTGTCCCTTCCTCAGTGACTGTGCACAGAGACTTTCACTGAGAAGGTTCTGCATGCACAGAAGTTTTTATGAATAAATAACAGAATATAAAAGCTTAAGAGGAAAGCAAACCTTATTCCTCAGGGCATGGCACTGCCCATCATACTTGGAAGACCCCAACAAAACTTCATATTTAGTGGTATCAGCTTGGTAGCTTGAAATTGTCCAAGGTGAGAGTATTTGCTCCATAGTAAATCTCAAACACTACCAACCAGAGCTTCCCGTCTCTTAGGCATCAGACCCCCATCACCCTACAGCTGGTTTACAAACACTTTACTACTTCTGACCCAGTAATTTCAGGAAAAAACTCCTATTGGTATTGGCCAGGAACCTATTTCTGAAACTATTACTGTGGTTAGAGAACAAGTCAGACAGACTGACCAGACCTAAGTCATCACGGAGCTGGGGTGTTGCTTGGCCCCATTGGAACTGCAAAGACAGAAGTGGTTTCAAAGTAAAATAGAAGTTGCTAGAAGAAAGATTTATGAATAATGAGCATGTAAAAATCACAAGGCAAGACTCTTGCAGAATCTGAGATGTACTTCAAGCCAGAGAACAAAAGGGCGCAGGGTAAGCAGGAAGGTCATGAAAGACTGCGGGACACCAGGGGATTGTGCTGATATTACTACTCTATTTTGCTAACCTAAAATAGAAATCCTTATTAAACTTAGCGTCACTCATCACAACTTTTCCAAAGTAAAATAAACATTTAGTATATGTAAGAGAATATAAGAATATTCAAGCTTTCCCCCCCTCTACAGACTTAGAAAAGAAGAATGACACCTTTTGTATTTTATGACCATCGTTTAGTGTAATTCAGCTTGTAATTACAAATAGTGAACTCACTATCATAATCATTTGGACATTTCCTCAGATGCCCCAAAGTCAGGCTTTGTATATTTGTGTGTATATGTGTGTCTAACTAAAGAGAAAACAGAGCAGCATTTAATGGTTGTGGCCTGCTCACATCCACACTGTAAGGCCTGTGGTTTTGCCCCAACCGATGCGAGCTCACACAGCCACATTTCTTGTTAAAGTCGGAGTAACATAGAAGCAATGACCAACACTGCTTATAGGTTTCCTATGAATACAATTGCAATAAGCAGATCAGCTTGACCATATCAACTACTCCCACTGATATACTGAGATGTAAAATCTAAAAGCCAGTAACAGCATCTTGGCAGCATTCATTTGTTCCAGCTGATGCTCAGTGTCACCAAGACTCACAAGTTCCAAGGTGTGGGTAATATTGCAATATTTCCAGAATCTCTCACATGGCTTTAGTGCATCTCCATATCAATAGGTGTTTCCAAGGGGTGGAGAGGAGTGGTCCACCTACATATCAGTAGGTGATTACAAGGGTGAGTGAGGGTTTATCTGGACCACAGAGGTTGGGTGGAGCTCTCTTCTGCTGCAGCCTGGTCAAGAGAGACATGGGACAATTGCTTGTAAGAAATAAATGGGTTTCTTAACTTTATTTCTCCCTTTGACTGATTTCAGTTTCAAAGATATTTTTGCCCTGGGATTTTCCCCACAGAGTGACACAAGGGCTCACATGTGATACAACCACTCGACTTCACCTTCTCTATGTTTTCATGAAGCACTGAAAGCACAGATAGAAGGCAGCTTACTTGCCACCCCCACACCCCACAAAGGACCCATAAAGTCCATAGCCTAGGACTCTCCTTCAGCAGAACCAAGAATTTGTTTGCTCGGCTACCGTAGTGTCGGGGCAGATGGAAGTAAAGATACGGAAAACTCTCATATTTTACAAATTTGGCCCTCAAATATACCTAAACAAAACTTGGATTTTCCCAATCCTTTTTATTATATATCCCAGTAAAAATGCAAGTGTAAAATCCAAGGCACCGCCTGTGCATTAGGGATAGTAAATAATAATCCGGTGTGAATCCTTCCTCTTTGATTGTTGATCAAGACCGTTTGACAGGAGAAGGATGAAGATGTCCACCACATGTGTTAATAAAAATTCACCAACTCCAGAAAAAGGATTAAAGATGGCGGCATGAGAGGAGAGACAGAGGTTTCCTCCTAAAACTGGATACAATTAGAAAATATAGTTGGCACAACTAATCCTGAGAGAGCAAAAGGAAAGAGGACGCGTCAGACTGCACACACCTGGAGAAAACAGCAGACCTCACCGAACGGGGTAACGTACAGAGCTGTGGCTCCACAGGACCCGAGCCCCTCCCCAACCCCAGCTCACCGGCGGGAAGAAGACAAACGGAGCAGGGAGGGAGTGGAAGGCCTGGAACTGCTGAATACCTGGCTCTGGAGATCTTGCTGGGAGCACAAACCTACATTGCATGGTGCTTTCATGAGACTCGCATGACTACCGGGTTGGAAAGTTAATATAGGCAGAGTTCCTGGGGAGACTGGGATTCCAGCTGCTTGTGGAAAGCAGGGATCCATATCTGGCTGCTCTGGGACAAAAACTTATACCTGTGTGCCCGGCCCCCTGGCTCAGGCAGTGGAGACAGGCAGAGCAGCCAGAAGGCGGGGAACAGCTCTTTCCTCCCCCCAGGCACCAATACTGCTGCCCTGCGCCCCCCGACATTGCTTCAGGGGCTGAGCAGCTCCAGAATAGAGCTTCTGGACACTAGAGGGCGCCATATACAAACATGAAACACCAAAGGAACCTTGTCCAGAGTAAAATTGTTAATACAACTCCCAAGAAAGATTTAAATGATATGGACATCATAACTCTTCCTAAAAGGGAGTTTAAAATAAAAATCATCAACATCCTAATGGAGGTACGGAAAGACATCCAAGAACTCAGGAATGAATTCAGGTCAGAGATCCAATCGTTAAAGAGCACAATGGAGGGTATTAAAAGCAGGTTGGATACGGTGGAGGAGACGATAAATGAAATAGAAACTAGAGAAGAGGAATACAAGGAAGCTGAGGCACAGAGAGAAAAAAGGATCTCTAACAATGAAAGAATATTGAGAGAACTGTGTGACCAACCAAGCGGAACAATATTCGCATTATAGGGATACCAGAAGAAGACAGAGAGAGAAAAAGGGATAGAAAGTGTCTTTGAGGAGGTAGTTGCTGAAAACGTCCCCAATCTGAGGAAGGACATAGTCTGTCAGGATATGGAGACCCACAGATCCCCCTACACAAGGGACCCAAGGAAGACAACAGCAAGACACATAGTAATTAAAATGGAAAAGATCAAGGATAAGGACAGACTGTTAAAAGCAGCCAGAGGCAGAAATAAGATCCCATACAAAGGAAAGCCCCTCAGGCTATCATCAGACTTCTCAGCAGAAACCTTACAGGCCAGATGTATTTAATGCCATGAAGCAGAAGGGCCTGGAACCAAGATTACTTTATCCAGTGAGGTTATCATTTAAATTTGAAGGAGGGGTTAAACAATTTCCAGATAAGCAAAAGCTGAGAGAGTTTACCTCCCACAAACCATCTCTGCAGTCTATATTGGAGGGACTGCTATAGATGGAAGTGTTCCTAGGGTTGGATAGCTGTCACCAGAGGTAGTAAAACCATGGTAGGGAGGGTGGAGCACCTGATTGTGAGGCAAATGCAAAATTAAATTGACTATCCCCAAAGCCAATCAAGGGATAGAGAAAAAGTATAGAATCTGATACCTAATATATAAAGAATGAAGGAGGAAGAAAAAGAAGGAGAAATAGAAAGGAACGTTTAGATTGTGTTTATAACAGCATACTAAGTGAGTTAAGTTAGACTCTTAGATAGTAAGGAAAGTACACTGGAACCTTTGGTAACCATGAATCTAAAGCCTGAAATGGCAATAAGTACATACCTATCAATAATCACCATAAATGTAAATGGACTGAATGCACCAATCAAAAGACATAGAGTCACTGAATGGATAAAAAAACAAGACCCATCTATATGCTGCTTACAAGAGACTCACCTCAAACTCAAAGACATGCACAGACTAAAAGTCAAGGGATGGAAAAAGATATTTCATGCAAACAATAAGGAGAAAAAAACCAGGTGTTGCAGTACTAGTATCAGACAAAATAGACTTCAAAACAAAGAAAGTAACAAGAGATAAAGAAGGACATTACATACTGATGAAGGGGTCAATCCAACAAGAGGATATAACCATTATAAATATATATGCACCCAACACAGGAGCACCAGCATATGTGAAACAAATACTAACAGAATTAAAGGAGGAAATAGAATGCAATGCATTCAATTTAGGAGACTTCAACACACCACTCACTCCAAAGGACAGATCCACCAGACAGAAAATAAGTAAGGACCCAGAGGCACTGAACAACACACTAGAACAGATGGACCTAACAGACATCTATAGAACTCTACACCCAAAAGCAACAGGATACACATTCTTCTCAAGTGCACATGGAACATTCTCCAGAATAGACCACATACTAGGCCACAAAAACAGCTTCAGTAAATTCAAAAACACTGAAATCCTACAAACCAACTTTTCAGACCACAAAGGTATAAAACTAGAAATAAAATTGTACCAAGAAAGCAAAAAGGCTCCCAAACACATGGAGGCTTAACAACACGCTTCTAAATAGTCAATGGATGAATGACCAAATTAAAATGGAGATCCAGCAATATATGGAAATAAATGACAATAACACAAAGCCCCAACTTCTGTGGGATGCAGCAAAAGCACTCTTAAGAAGAAAGTATATAGCAATCCAGGCATATTTAAAGAAGGAAGAACAATCCCAAATGAATAGTCTAATGTCACAATTATCGAAATTGGAAAAAGAAGAACAAATGAGGCCTAAGGTCAGCACATGGAGGGAAATAATAAAGATCAGAGAAGAAATAAATAAAATTGAGAAGAATAAAACAATAGAAAAAATCAATGAAACCAAGAGCTGGTTCTTCGAGAAAATAAACAAAATAGATAAGCCTCTAGCCAGACTTATTAAGAGAAAAAGAGAGTCAACACACATCAACAGAATCAGAAATGAG